GAATCGGAGAACATGCTTTCTAATCAAGAAGCCTTAGCTTAACAAATGGCTAAGAACGTTAAATCTGATAATGTTCTATTTTCTAAAAGAAAGTCGTACAATAAGAATACATCAACTTGGAACAAAAATAAAGAGAAAGAAACAAGAATGGAAAAAGGTAGAAATCCACACAACACCAAAAAGTGCTACAGATGTGGAAAAATTGGGCACATCAAGAAAAATTGTCGAGTAAAACTTTCCAAAACCAATGTCACGTGCACCAACGAAGGAGATGAGCAAATGAAATGGGAGAAATCTTTTAGCATCGAAGTTTTTGAATAAAAGTTAGAACAAGATTTTGTCAATTATGCCAACAAATAATAAGAGGGAAGAGTGGATCGTTGATTCAGGGTGCTATCATCATGTAACTTGAGATGATTCTCTATTCTCGGAGATGTGAGATAATCATGTAGTTTGATTCATTATCACAGCTGATAACTCGACATATCCAGTAGCAAAAGAAGGTGTTGTGAAGATTGAGGTTGTTGGTGACAAATCCAAAAGTATCAAATTGCAGGATGTTTATCAAGTTCTGAGTTTGATGAAAAATCAAGTCTCAGTTCCTCAAATTATTGATTATGGAAAATATGTATTATTTGGTCCTAGTGATGTGAAGGTGCTTGAAAATGTAAAATAAGTATTTGTTGATGTTATTTTTAGTGGCGAAAAAGAAATGTTCTTTGTTTGTTATGCTAGCAGGTGAAGCCTGTGTGAAAGAAAACAAGTCAAACTTATAAAGTCACAAATTGGCATGCTCGGTTAGGTCATGTAGGCTATCAGATGTTGCAGCAGATCTCTTCTAAACAATTGGTAGACGGCATGCCAACTTTAAATAATGTAGGTGAAGACGTGATTTGTGAAGGTTGCCAATATGGAAAATCTCATCGTCTTCCTTTCAAAAGGTCATCAAATCAGAGAACCATGATGTTTGAATTGGTTCATATAGTTTCGATGGGACCAAAAAGAACACCAAGTTATAGCGGGCATTGATATATATGTTATGGTGTAGGTGGATGATCACTCAAGGTTTACTTGGGTGAAATTTTTGAAAGAAAAGAGTGAAGCGTTATCCAAGTTTATGGAGTTCAAAGATGTTGTTGCAAATGAGTTCGAGAAGGAGATAAAATGTCTACATAGTGATAATGGCAGAGAATATATGTCAGATGACTTCTTATAGTACTATCATGATAATGGAATTGTTCGTCAAATGACTTGTGCAGATAAACCTCGCCAGAATGGAATAGCGGAAAGAAAGCTTGTCTATCTTTCTTCAGTTTAACTTTCATGGTTGCATGACAATAATCTTCCTCGAGAGACGTTGTCTGTCGCTTTTAGAAAAGCATCGAGCTAAAAAGTGACGGACACATACACAATATTGTATATTGTGTTTTTGTGGACGCTATTACGACATGTATGACAGAAATTTTCATGGATAGATCCATATATATATATATATATATATATATATATATATATATAGTAAGTA